AATGAACTTTTCCACTACATTCTAATTTATTGAGATGCACCTGTATATATGCACTCCTGTGTCATTTCTTGGCAACAATAAACAGCCATACAGTTAAGCTATGTTAATTAATTGACATACAATTAATTTATTAAGCAAAGTACACTACTGGTAAGTTTGGGGTCAATACATTTTAAATTTTACTTGATTTTTTTTTTTTTAAAGAAGTCTCTTGACGTCTCTAAGGCTGCATTTATTTGATCAAGAATAGTGAAAACAGCAGTATTGTGAAATATTAGTACAAGTTCAATAGTTTTATATTTTAATGTGTTTTAAAATCTAATTTATTCCTGTGATGCAAAGCTGAATTTTCAGCAGCCATTACTTCAGTTGTCACTCTTCAGTGTCACATGATCCTTCAGAAATAATTCTAATATGATGATTTGCAGCTCAAGAACCATTTTTTTTTAACATTGTCAATGTTGAAAACAGTTGTACTACCTAATATTGTTTAAAGTTATTAGGTGCTACTGTTTTTATTACTTTAGTAGGTTATGTAATTGGAATATTTTCCACAGTATTTTATTATTATCAGATTAATCATTATTGATTTTATTGTATTTTTCTCAGGTTTTATTTATATAACAGCTTAACAAAAACTCAAGTTTGCTTCAAATGTGCATCCAATCATCTATTCTAATCAAATACAGATTCTGAAAAAAAAAAAAAATTTGTCATGGTACTCCAAAGTCTACAATTTGCAGTAAATTACACCATAATCATTTATGTTGGTCACAGCACAGTACAGTAAACACTAGGGATGCTCCGATCGATCGGCCGGAGATCGGTATCGGCCGATAATCACATTTTATGACTCGATCAGTACTCACTAACTTGGCCGATCTCACAAACCGATCGCAATTTAATGACGTCGATGAGTGACGATGTATATGATGCGTGGGGACGTAAATGATGCAGCAGTCATGTCATCGCCAGTGTGGAAATAATCCGAATTCATTTTTATTACCCAACCCGCGGATTATCCGCAGCGCCTGTGGATATAGGAAAAGCAAAATATTGTTCCTGCGTAAATCAGACGGACTTACTGAAAATGCACATTCATTCTCTGCCAGCAGATGCTTTAAAGCGGGAGAAACAGGTTTCCCCAGTAACGGCTGTACACAAAGCAGCGCTGAGCTCACAAACGCTGCTTTATCAGGCATATAACATGCAAGATGAAATGAAAATGACATTGAAAATTTTCTAAATATAGTCTTCGTTCACAAATACAGTGATAAAAAAGACACCCGCTCCTCGTTTTGATTTTTAAACGTGCAGTAGCGTGCTTGTTTATTCAACGAAGCCTTTTGGAAAGGTTTTGATATTGTTTTGATATTGTGACGAGCACCACAAATAAATAAATGTATGGGAAACGCATCCCACAGCACAACCACCTGAGCCCAACTTCAGTCTACTCATCACCTTAACTTTAACTGCGTTTGTAGCCGGCACCATAGCCAGACTGATAAACAAACACAGACCGGAAGTTAACTTCGGCCCAGGTGCGTGCGCCCAATGAAACCGTCTAAAGGGGCGATCACACTGCACTTTTCGTTCCATTGACTTCCATTCATACGCATGCGAATGTATCAGACCGAAAACACAAGCTCATGCGAAAAATTTCACATTTCGCTGCATTCCAAAGTTCAAGTTTGGTGAACTCTGACCTGCGAATTCGCATCACGTGAAGACGTGTGACCAGTAGAAGATCGATACGTCACTGCGTGACATCTCTGTGGAAGCGTTAATTTTAGCAGTAGCGCAGCGTCCTATTTTATATAATACATCTATAAAGGATTATAAAAATCAAATAAAAAAAGAAGCTGCATGGTTTGCGGTGTCAATGGAAACAGGAACAGACGGTACATTTGAATGCGGACACATTTTATAATTTTTTATTGCTTAGTGTATATGTGTGTGTGTATATATATATATATAGAGAGAGAGAGAGAGAGAGAGTACAATA